TAAATAAATAAATAAATAAATAAATAAATAAATAAATAAATAAATAATTTTCCCCCCATACAGTTCACTGCCAATGGTGAATTGCCTTGTCATGCAAACCAGATCACTGTGACATGCCAAATGGGGCTGCCTGACTACTTTCCTGCCTGCCCGTCATACACATCTCTTTCATGTGTATCTTTGAATCCTCCCTCTCTAGCTCCCTTTCTCTCTCTCTCTCTGTGTATGTATGTGTGTGTGAGTGTGCAAATGTACAGAGAGAGAGAGAGAGAGAGAGAGAGAGAGAGAGAGAGAGAGAATACAGGCAGGATTCAAATATTATGCTGGTAACAGTATACTGTAGCAATGTATGAACATGGCAGCACATTATATTAATTTTGTTATCTATAGCAAACCAGCTCCTATTCTCTAAATTTAAAAATTTCTGTTATCAACCTTTGCCTACAATGAAGATGATTCCTATAAGTAAAACTGATTGGCAAGAAACATGTGTAAGTCCAAGGAATACAATTATACTACAGAAAATTCAGTTAGCCTATTCTGATTAGTGTTTTTTTTTAAAGAAGAGAAAGAAAGGCAGCCAAGCCTTACAAATACTGGAATTGTATATGTCTAAATAATTTGCTGCTTAATAGGCTGATGGCTGACATTCAATACACAACTCTCCTTTAATTCAAATGTCTGTAACTTGATTGATATGCTGCAAATTAATTGCATTTAAGACAAACAGGGAAGATGAAACTTTTCCAAATATTCTGTTCGTTTATAGTCACCTCTATAAAAGCTAGGCTCCCAATTTAAGGGACCTTACCGATTTTCCTTTTCTTCTATGTCACCTGCACTGTTTAACCTTCGAGGGGATACTGAAGCAAAATAGATTTTGTTGTCCTTGTCCTGTGAAAACAAATACAAATCATTTGATGCTGGTGAATGTTTCAGTCAAAATGAATGCTGTTTTTCAAGTGCTTTGTTCAAAGTTTTGTTCCAACAAAACATTGTTAAATGTTTGCCACAGTAAATTTGGAGAAAAGAATGTTATGCAATGCCTCCATCACTACAACTCTTTCATTATATGTTTTGTTCGCTCACTATGGGCCAGTACAAATGTGATACTTTAATCCATTACAAATGTGGTTAAGGGAAACAGGCGAAGTTTGAGATTGTGCACTCTTTGTCCCTGTCCCTGCGCACTCCCACTCAAATTTCCTCAGTTCTTCTCTATGCCTTCCAGGATATGAAGCTGTTTTGAAGTCTATGAATAAGAGTGAACCTTGGTTTATCCTATTTTGCCCAATCAATGGAGTGCTTTGTTGGCATCTATTTCAGAAGGCGTAAGAGATCTTGGGTTATTTTTAATTCACCAAAAACTGATGCTTCAAGTATAATGGGCACCACAATATCTTTTGAATGGGGCTTAATTATGGTGACTCATTATTGGATTTTTAAAAAAATATGTATTAGATTTTTATATCCTTCCTTTTCTTTTACAAGAACTCAAAGTGGCTTACATCTTTCCCTTCCTGCTGCTCTCAATCTTATCCCTGCAACAGCAACCCTGTGAAGTGGGTTGGGCTGAAAGTCTGTGACTGGCCCAAAGTCACCCAGTTGGCTCCATGTGAAAAACGGAATGCTGGACAAGATTATAAGAAAAAGCTTTGGTCTTATGTAGCATAGATTATCTTATGTTCTTAGGTACTGGTTTTAGGTACTAAAAACAAAAGCCTACTTTTAAAAGACATGATCTGGAAAAGGCACTAATTAGCAGTGCTCCAGATTATAAGTCACAATTTTCAAAGTGAAAGAAGTCTGGCTGTTTTTGACCTTTTCTTTGTTGTCCAATAGTGCAGAAATTCGAGGGGTTGAAGAGGAGCGATAAATGGAGTCAGACTTTTCTCTTAGTGTGTCACGAGGGACACTGCCTTCACTGAGGGTGTTCTGGCTGCTAGTTTTCCGCAGACTTAGCCTCCATGATGAGGGAGATTCATCCTTTTGCTCTTCAGACTTGTTGAGCAATGGGGAAAACTGTAAAAGTAAAGCAAACAGATGAAGGACAGCTGGGAGTATTTTGGGATATCTCAGCAGTCAAATTGTTTCACTTTTCTAAACATACCGTATGTTTTTAAAACTGCAACTGTAAAATTTGCCAGAAGAGCACATTAAACAAGGAAACATCACTAAAATACAGATACCACTTACTACTACTACTACTACTACTACTACTATTATTATTATTATTATTATTATTATTATTATTATTATTATTATATTTCTATACTATTTCTATCATCCACAGGGCTCTCTGGATGATTTACATAATAGACAGTTAACAAAAAATAACATATATAACAATAGCATATAAATAATGTCAGAACAATAAGCTATAACAACAAATATACAATATATTTGTACATTTATAATAATATAACAATAAAACCATTTACCAATATTATCCCATTTACCAATATTTTCAAACTTGCACTAATCAAACAGCCAGGTATACACATTATACACGTGCAAAAAACACTGTAGTTCTCTGAAACACATTTCTGAATGCACTGACTTTCTATACCTATGCACTTATAAAATTATTTCAGGTGCAATATTGTGATAATTTATATAAACAAACCAAAACTGGATCAGGATTGAGATTCCATCCCACAGAACCCCCACAAATATTCAAAGCAAACACATGTTAAAATACATGCAAGGAAAAACTATAAATAATTCCACAAAAAGCAAAAGCTTAAACTTTCAGCCATTAAACACTTCAGCATAATCCAAACAGAAGAGTTAGCAGTACCAGGTCAACCCCACACACTGACTGTTATTCAGCACCAACAAATGTATGGAAAGTATCTAATATAGCTACTGTACTTCTGTTGCACCAGTGGGACCCTTCTGTGAGCTCTACTGACCTGCCCCGTTCCAGAAATGAATGTTTCTACTCATTTTCAGTATCTTTAAGATTCACTGGCTCCCCATTCACTAGCTCCCCATTGCATGTGAGCAGAGTAGGATACTGCCCCATTTGTTCAGTAAAGTTTCTGAAGTACGGCTTTCATTTAATAGCTTCTTAGGCTTCAAACCTGAGAACATGCCCAAATTAATTCAGTGGGACTTAATTCTGAGTAGACATGCACAGCATCATACTGTTAATGTCACATGAGAAGATATTTTTTTAAACCTGCAGCAGTTCCAAAGCTGGGGTGCAGTATGTCATGGAAAGTACTCTTCAAAGCTGCTTCCCCTTTGCAAATATGCTATCCTGCAGGCACACCTAAATCACTCACTGATCAGAGAAGGGAAATAAGCCACTGTAGCTTATTTTCATGTCCTGTGGATTCAAGCTGGTTGCATACCACCAAATTGCTAGGTTTGTTGTATCATCTGAACCTGGGAAAGATGGGGGGTGCGTGAGTTTACAAGCCACTCCAGAACCCATGGCTTGATCTAGGGTTGTGGGTTGGTCTGTAAACCTGCCATTCTCCCATCCTTTTCAGGTTAAATGACATGACTAACCTTGTTGGGAAGGGTAACTGTGGTAAATCAGTGGCACCTGATCAGCATGCAAAAAAAAGCTCCTTTCCCAATTGTTCAAACTTACCCAGGAGATAGTGGCTTTTAGTTTTTAATTCCTGCCGATTCCAAAACTGGATGCTGAGCCTCAAGGCACGAATAATGTTCTCCCTCTGATCTGATCAGGTACTCATGAGGAAATGAACTGTTTTTAAGCCTGACCTCTCTCTAGTTCATTGTATATATGCCATGCCATTGAAAGAAAAGGTATTACATGAGGATGAGATAAAGGCCACTGCCATTTTTCTAAAGTTGGAAGCTCGTCACAATATTAGCCATTCTGCCACAAGGCAGAACATTAAGCTAATATTAAGTTAGCAGCATTCACCTTGCTTATACATGGAATAGTCACAATCAATAATAGCATATCTTAAAGACAGAAGGGAATTAAATTCTCCCTTAGTCTGCAATCTCTGGTGGGCTTCATCCCTCCCTCTACTTTGTCCCATGCTATAAAGAAGAAGATGAGAGGAAGGGCAGGGCCATTTCTTTAGCCCTTCTGAAAACCTCCTTCATGAAGGCCCCTCATCCCTCAGCCATCACTACTAGCAGCCATTCCAGCAGGATGAGCAGAGGGAGATAAAAGGTAGAGTCACCAGCCCTGCAAAAAGAATTTAAATGGCCACTTAAATTTAATGAGAGCAGGTGTGGTGTAGTAGTTAAGAGTGCAAGATTGAGACTCAGGAGATCTGGGTTCTAGCCCTGCTCAGCCATGGAGCCAACAGGGTGACTTTGGGCCAGTCACAGACTCTCAGCCCAAATTACCTCACAGTAGGGTGCTGAGAGGGTTGAGAGATGATGAGAGCAGCAGGTGGCGAATGATGCAAGCTACTTTGCATTCTTTAAAATAAAAAGGCAAGATATAAATCCAAATAAATAAATAAATTTAATTTCTCCTTGCCATTCTCTCCTCTTTTCTTTTTCCTTGTGTGTCATAACTTTTTGTATCCCTGCAGTTAGGGGCTTTTTTATTCAACCCTAATCCAAATTATAACTACATCTAGGTACTTGTTCCGAACATCCATGGCCTCTACCAGTTCAGCTCTCACAGAGAAATATAGCTGGGAGCCATCAGCATACTGGTGGCACTTGCCCCAAATCTTCTGATGATCACTTGCATCAGCCTGAAAGTTGCCATTCTTCAACAAAGGAACTTCAAAGGATGTTCCTTGCATGAAATTGCTGAATTAGAGCTGATAAAGAAGTCTGATTCTGTTTGCTCAGATCTGAATTTAAACAATGGCTTCCTGTCTTCCTCCTGAAGTTAATTAACAATGCAATGCTAGGAGGACTTCAAAGCTAGAATTGTATAGGGTATAGTTGTTATTATCTTGTATACCATTGTGTACATTAGAGCTTTATAAAGAACTGTGGGGCTTGCATTTTCTGCTGTTTGGTCCCATTGTTTCTGTACCTGTCTGAGAAATCAATGAGAGAGATGCTATATGAAAGGTGACTTCTACTCTATGTATGGATTCCAACTGTGTACCACCATCCAGCTGGTTTTCACCTCTCCTGCTCACATGCACTGTGCTAAAGAGGGTATAGAGTCCAGCAGACTTGATAATCTAAAGTGTGAAGACACAGATACACTATGAGTGAAAAATCCTGGCTCCAAAATTAACTTAGTTATAGAAGTACAGTATAACCCTCCTGACCAGAATGCTCAAAGTGATCTTCAGATGAGAAATGAAATCAGGGAGGCCTCCAACAAATGCAGTACTGTAATAATGGGTGACTTTAACTATCCACATACGAGTTGGATAAATCCATGTTCCAGTTCTGACAGAGGTTGACTTTCCTGATGTCCTAAATGACTGTACCCTACAGAAGTTGGTTGTGGAACCAACCAGATGGGAGGCAATCCTGGATTTAGTCCTAGGTAAGTTGCCCAGGACTTAATTCAGAGTATAAATGTTGTTGAATCAATATACAGTTAGGTGAAACATTACTAAAGAGGTTGAACCAGTTGCATTTTACTTTTCAAAACTGAGGGAACTAATAAAGGAGAAGCTGAAGAGGGGCCTCATGAAGTTCAAATCACTTCAAAGTGCTTTAAAAATAATAAAAATACTACAATAGAGACTCAGTTAATGTGCATATCACAAGTGAGGAAAAGTAGTAAAAAGTCTACCTTTCTACCAGAAAATCACCAGCATGGTTAATGCAAAGAGCCAAGGAAGATATTAGGGAAAAGAATGGAAGTCTTGCCCAAATGAAAGAAACAGAAGGAACCATAAGCTTGTGCAATGGAGATACAAGCAGACAATTAGAGAAGCAAGGAAACAGTTTGAGGAGTATATCACTTCTAACATCATAGCCAACAAAAAAGAATTCTTTAAATATATCAGCAGAAAGACAGCAGATAAAACAGTTGGGCCACTGGACAATAATAAAAATTAAAGGAGCACTAAGGGGGAAGAGGAGACCGCAAAGACATTGAATAATTTTTTCCCTCAGGCTACACAACAGAGGATTCAGAGCAGATACCTGTTCCTGAGCTTATGTATTTTGGAAGGGAGTCTGAGGAATTCTGGCAGATGGTAGTGAAAAAGGATGAAATTCTCAACCTTATTGATAAACTGAAAGTCAGCAAATCACTCTGTCCAGATGGTATCCATCCTAAAGTTCTCAAAGAATTCAAACATGTAATTGTTGACCTTCTTACCAAAATATTTAATATGTCCCTAACATGGAGGACCAGGTGACACTGGTGGCCGAGAGCACCTGCTAAGAACTTCAGTTGATAAATCAACCACAGCTGCTCCTGGACAGAGCTATATCTAGCCATGGTGATCCATGCACTGATAAGTTCGCATAGACCAGGGGTGTCCAAACTTTTTGCAAGGAGGGCCAGATTTGGTGAGGTGAAAATGTGTGGGGGCCGACCATTCAGCCTGACATCCTTTGAACCATTAACATTAAATGCAAATGAACTATTTTATGAAAGACTAAACAAATAACTTAACTGCACTAATGTGAAGGGTGATACTGAGATCTCGACTGCATTATATAGGCCAGGTCTGGCTCAAAAACAGTGGTTTTGATGCGCAAGATGTCACGCAGGTGAAAGTCACTTAGTCTCGTCCTCATGCGGTTCTTGTTAATGTTCATAACCGAGAATGTCTTCTCGCACAAGTATGTCGAACCAAACAAGCTCAGCATTTTCTTAGCAAATGTTCGAATCTCTTAGAACCTGTCTTTATCCAGCTGGCAGTAAAAGTTGACAAGAGGGACCTGTTGGTGCCGACCGTGACACTCGGCGTCACACTGCAGCTCAATGAGCTCCAGCTGTAGGTGGTCTGGAGCATCATCAGGGTCCACAGGGTCCGCAGCGGTGGCACAGGGCTTTGGAGCTAATATAATTAATAGCCTTCATCACCGTTTTCATAACATGATCATATTTCAGATGTTTGGCACAGAGAACTTGTTGGTGAATAATACAGTGGAGTTTTATAGCTTTGCCTCCTTCTTCGCTGACTTTGTTACAGACTAGGGTTCGCTCGCCAGCCATGGCAGGTGCGCCATCCGTAATAATCCCAGTGACTTTATTCCACGGTAGTTTCATGTCATCTACGGTGGAACAAACAGAAACAAATAAATCTGTTCCTCTTGTTTAGTTGTTAAGGCTCTGGAGGTCAAGTAGCTCTTCACTCACGTTCATGTCATTGTCCACTCCTCTCAAAAAAATCAATAACTGAGCGGTGTCAGATGCATCCGTGCTTTCGTCACAGGCTAACGAAAAAAAGTCAAACTCCACTCCTTTTGCCTCTGTCTCTTAATATCAGATGAAACGTCTTAAATTCTCCATACCACAGTGTTACGAGCCAGGCAAACATTGGCAAACTCTTGCTTCTTCTCAGGACAAATTTTCTCCACCATTTCCATCACACAGTCTTTAATAAATTCACCCTCAGTAAAAGGTTTGCAGTGCTTGGCAATCAGCGTTGCCACCTCATAGCTCGCCTTTGTGGCATGTTCATTTGACTCACGGGCTCTTGTGAAAAAGCGCTGCTGTGCTGTTAAAGCAGCTTCCAGTTCCTTCAATTTTTCGCCGCGTTCATTCCCAGTTAGCTTGTTGTAGTTAGCATGTTTCGTCTGGTAGCGCCTCTTGATACTGAATTCCCTGAAAACAGCCACAGTCTCTTGGCAAATTAGGCAGACACAGTTGTTTCGTATTTCAGTGAAAAAATACTCCAATTTCACTTGTCCTGGAAGCGGCAGCCCTAGCTGTCAACTTTCCTTTTTTTAGTTACAGTCGCCATTTTAGAAATGGGCACACAAGCCTTGTGTCACAAGGGTCACGCGGCGAGAGTGCTGACTCAGGTCTACTGCCATCTTCTGGTGAAATATAACCACCAGCCTTGAAGGAGCAGGAGGCAGCAAGAGACAGCTGCGGGAACCGCTGTGCAGTAAAGGGAAAAACGGCGGCCTGCGGGGATGAATGACAAGCTGAGCCGGCGGGGAGAAGAGGCTGCGGGCTGCTCGAAATTTGAAAACGGGCCGCAATTGGCCCCCGGGCTGGACTTTGGACATGCCTGATATAGACTAATATAATATGCTCCAAATAAGGCTGTGCTAGGGCCTGTTTCAGAAGCTGCAGCTAGAGTACTCAATGGGACACTAAATTAAGCTAAGCTAAGCTAAACTAGGTAAAGCTATGTTAAAAGACCTACACTGGCTGCCTATTAGCTTCCAAGTCACATTTAAGGTTATATTGCTGACTTACAAACTGCTAAATAACAAGACCAGGTTGTCTATCTATCAGACTGTCTTTCCTTATATATAACCAACAATCTCTTAGGGTCATCTGAGGAGGTCTCCTTGCTAGTGGACTCATTCTGTGGAAAATTCTTTTGTAATTTAGGAGGCAAAAAAATGGCATTTTTCTAACGTTTCCTGAAAATGCACTCATTCACCTAGGATTTTCCTGGCTTTAAATTAAATTAACACGCTTGTCCGTTGTACTGCTTCTGTACTTTTACATATTATTCCTATAATTGTAATTGTTTTAAAATGATATTGTAAATGCTATTTTAATATTTATATGTAAAACATTTAGGAGTTTTAATAGCCATACAGAAATATTACAAACACACACACACATTCAATATTTTTAATATCTGGACTTTTTAAACATTCTGCTCAGTTATTAAGAAATACTTAGGTCAAGTACTTCCAAACTGATTTGGAAGTAAGATGAACTGAATTTAATAGTATTTATTCCCCAGAATGTTCAACACAAGATGGCATTCTTAAATTCTAAGTGTGTTACTACTCTAACCAAATTTCAACTTACTTTCCTGGCAGGAGCCATAGTGAATGAGTTATGCTCTGGTGGTGGCACTTGTTCTGTAATGAGAATTCCAGGTTCATGATTGGAATAATTAACAGTAGATTCTTCTTCCCTCCCTAGAAAGACAGAAAAATGATGTTGTGAATATTCTATGACAATTTTCTAGATTTACCATGGCAATGTGCTATTGACATGAAAGTCTAAATCGGTTTTATCTGCTAAAACTGAAAGGCATCTGTCCATTGGGTTTAAGCAAGAAACCAACATTAAGAAGTATCTGCATAAAAAGTCACTTTGCCATGACTTAAACGAAAGGCACTAATATAAAATAGAAAACGTGTATAAGACCTATTGACTCACAATGTTTTCCCTAAAGCTATTTCAGTATGGGCTGGAAAAATTAATCTGTGGCAATCTTTCATTGAAAAAGTTAGAGTAGTTGATTTAATTTTAAGGACAAAGCTCTATTAACTTAAGCAATGAGTAATTTTCACAAATATATTTTGTCTATGAATTTAAAAAATCAGACATTTACCTTCAATTCAGAGGTATTATTTTAAATTGGTTATCCGAGTTATTCATAAATTCAGAATGAAACTGGAATTCAGTTATGATTCAGCTGGTATCCTACTTGCCTTCAGTCCATTTGGGACTGGACTATTACGCTTGGAAATTGGTGATCTGCCTTCATTATTTTAGTGGCTAGTCATATACTATTAGATGAAATATAAGAATTGGGCTATGAAAATAGAACTTAAATGGTCTCAAGGCTTAAGCAGCAAGTGAAATATAGATTTATCTAACTTGAATAACCATTCCTGGATAATTATATCAATATGCTGATAGGTTCCATAGTGGTGGCCAATAGCAGTAAAAACACTGTGGCTTGAGGCTATTTGTTTTCTCCCAATCCATGACAATGTTTTATTTTACGCTAAATAAGGCTATGTTACTGTTTCTGCTTTGATGAGTGATTTCTGCTTCAGAGAGAGCTATTAACAGAGCAAAGTACTGGTCTAATTCCATACCGCAGTGATATATGCTGGAAAATGCATTCTTCTTTTAGAGAGCAGTACCTTCCAGTTTGTAACCATGGTTACAATACAGAAAAATATGCACACTAGTTCCATACATAGGCCGCTCTCCTTTTCTGGACAACACTCAGCCACCCTTATGTGACAAGCTACTTTCAAAAATAGTCTACGAATGGACTGTTTTTGGAGAAAAGAACACAATCCCTCAACTTATTGTAGGTAATGGCACTGAGGGAAAGATAACCCCTTCTACTTTCCTTCCCAGTTTAGCATATTTGGGACTGTGATTTACCTATACTGTTTAGTGTTAAAGCATAAATAGATGGTCAAAACCAAGTTAGCTAACAAATGAACTTTAAACTCTCCACTACTTGCATTTTTTCCTGTCTGGTAAGTGTGCTTATCTGAAAATAGCATTATGAAGTCACAGGACATCATAATGAAGTCAGTCATCACAAACTGCAACATCTATCATACATATGCTACGACATATGCAGTTATTCTATAAAACTTCAAGTTCTCTCTTTGATCCCTACCCATGGTGATCCTTTGCTTGCTTTAGAAATATAACTAAAACACCACCAACATAAAACAAAAGGAGTATTAACATAATCTTGATTAACTGCTGATTACTTTGCCTTCATTCATTTTTCCACTTCCTGTGTGAGTCTCCATTTGTAGACAGACAATTTGAGTTATGGCACAGAAAGGGCATGAGGGAGGGGAGCCAGAGAGCTCTCTGGAGTTGTTGCCTGCTTTGGTGGCAGAGCAGTAGGTGATCCAGAGCATTTGGACAGCCCTGTTCTCATGCAGCACGTTCTGCAAGAAGAGAACAACCACCAGAGAGGATGGGTGATAGGTGGGCTCTCCGCAGCATCAAGCTGCCAAGAAGCACCTACTAAAGAGTGCCTACGGTGAGGAAGGACTCCTGGAGATGGGAGTGCATAATTCAGTACACCTTTCACTCAGCTATCTGAAGTGGGGACTTATTGGAGAGCTGACCCTATTTGTGACATCAATCATTTTCATACAAATTAACAAAAAAGCACAGAGGAAAAAAAGAGCTGAACCTTCTGAAAATTTTAGCTGTGGTCACATCTATGTTGCATAACATTTTAACAGCAATTGCCCACAAAGAAGATAGGAAGATAAGCATAGATGCTTTTTAGAAACCTACAAATTGTAAAGGAAATTTGAAGCGTCAACTATGCCTAGATTTTTCATCCAGTTCTGCCAAATTATAAAACATTGTGCTCAAAAACCCCTTCACCTGTGTCTGAAATCTGGAAGGTTTCATCAGCTCACAAGGAGCTACAAGGCTCAAGAATCTCATCCAATTTAGTCAGTCAACAAATAATAATTTAGTTATTAATTTCTAATAACAGGAGGCATGAAGTTTCCAAAATGAGATTTTCTGAGACCTTTATGGTTCAAATGAGGCAAAAATGTAATTCTATATATTACCTGCCTCTTTTTCAGTATCTGACTCTGAAGCTTCATCTTCCTCAGCTTCTTCCTCTTCCTCCGAACTGGAGCTACTTGACTCTTTGTTTTCCTCTTCTCTTTGTAGAGATTTCAGCGTATCTGTCTCATAAAGAATCTTCTCTTTGCTGAGTCAAAAAATTGTTGAGGTATTCAGCACAGTGGAACAGCAAACCATGCTACCCTAACCCAACGAGCTTAAGATCTGACAGTGACCTAGTCCACATGATCAAAACCAGCCAACATGGTTTAAATAAGCCATAGTGGCTTGCTGTGACCCCACAGCACAGACTGGTATGTGCCAGGTATGATTTTTATAATGATGTATTATCTGAATCTAGGTAATATAGCTTGTTGGAGGGTTAAACAACCCTCAGGTAACTAATGGGGTCCTGTATGGTTATTTGAGGGACACCTGAACCTCCAGCAAACCATGCCACTGATATAGCAATGCTATGACCTGCAGCCAGGCAATAATTATGCCCAGCACATGCTGAGGCTCACAAGCAAGCCCCTGTAGGTCATTTATGTAATGATGGCTTATTTTGATACCGTGAGTCAGTTCCATGTAAAGATGCAGCACAATGTGTACACTGTAAGCAGAATTACTTTTGCAAAGCAATGTGAGTAAATCCACCATTTAAAATTCTTGGAATCTTGTCAAAGGAATAATGAAGTGACTCGAGTATATTGAAAACAGCTTCTGCAGAAAAAGCACATACTCTTCAATAAAGAGCAGTTTAAAAAGTACAACCCAACTGCTCCCCACACTGCATACCCTACCTTGCTTCATGTTGTGCTAGTCACTTGGCTTTTAGAAACTCAGGGCAGGGCAAATTTCCTTTCCTTCCAAATCCTACAAGATGTTGAGATGTTTGAGATAACAGCTCCTAGTATTCTTGACCACTGACAATGCTAGCTGGGGCAGATTAAGAGGTAAAATTCAAAACACCTAAGCTGTAGAGAGCTACTGCAAAACATCCACATCATATATTTGCAGATTTAAAGTCTTACTTTTTGAAGAGTCCACTCTGAAGTTTCCCATTCATATCGGCTTCAATCAGTTTGTTTCTTGTCTCTTCACTACGCAGCTGTCAAAAATGTAATTGGAAAGCCATTTTAAAGAACCACTAATGGCTCTAGGTAAAGCCTAGAGTGATATTGGAAGAACTGCATCTTGTTTGACTATGAGGCTCTTACTGAAAGTAGTGGGAATCTATGACCAAGATCCTATCAGTGATTGGTTCACATAATCTACATGCAAACTATTGGTCATGACTGTTTGTTTGTTTGTTTAAAACATTTAAATTTAAATAATGACTAGAGGAGCTATCTTGTGAACCTAGAAACAAATTTTGTGCCTCATTGCCACCAATGCAGAAATAACATTGTTCAGGGTAGGAAAGTTTCAGTCCCAATATGGCAAACTTCTTTGATAAATCATTTAGGAATATTGATACAAGACAAAGTGGAGAGGACAAATGCTAATTAAAACAAAGAGCCAAGCTATAAATGGAGCTATTCAATTACACCCAGACCAATGACCATTTTCTGCAGTTATGGAGTTATTGCATTTCTGCATTACATGCATAATTTCAGTATTTTTAATTGTGAGATATTAGGCACCTCAGATGCAACTATTAGAAGCTTAACATTTAGTTTCATTCCACTAACTGAATAATTATGACAAGGATGTTCATAAGTCTTGGTTAGTTGAAAGGAATAGCAAGGAACTCACCATATTCTGTTTCTTCTGCAGCATCTCTAAGTGCTCAACCAAACCCTCATCAGCAACATCAAATGGCGTCTGACCCTGATGGCATGTGTAATAAGAAAACAAAGGTACTATACAAGATGTCATTTCATTATCATTAAATTATGATTATTTATGCATATGAAACAAAAATCAAAATTTTTGCAGCAAGCCAATTAAGAACTCTGTTTCTCTCTGCAAAGCTGATGAACCAAAATGAACAAAGATGCAGCTGTAGTTGATGGTTCACATATTCTTCAAACTTTTTCCACAGTAGTGATATAAATACAACTGAGAATAATGAAACCTTGAAATGTGTTTTTAATGAGCAGGCCACAAATAAAACTTGATATGCTAAGTTAAAAACAAGTTCATAGCAAGATCCTAGAAGATAAAGCTCACGGTACTCTCCCCAAAACTGAATTACCAAGTAGCTGCTTATATAGGACAAATAATCAGAAGGACCATAAAATACCCTAGCTAGTTCAAAGTATATTTCTACATTTATAATCCTACTAGATAACTGTGTTGCTTCAGTCTTAGTTAGTATGCTAGCTATTATTCTGTAGCAGATCTTCCAGGCCCATTTCGGATGTCTCAGGTAATAGAAACAACTGACAAAGTTTTCTCTACCCTTATGCTGATTTTGTCCACTTGCACCAACATATAGTTAATGGCATGGCCTGAATCATCAGGGCAAGTATTGATCCAAAAGCCTTCAAAATACAAGGCTCTCTGCAAATTAAATCATAAATGTATTTCTTATATTAGTTGAATACTTTATAAAGTATTTTTCTAGGTGTTGTACAGTTCAATGTAAAATGATATAAAATGAATAAACTATATTCCATGCACCTGATGTCCCAAAGGATTTTCTCTTACTCGTTTGTCACACTTTCTCATGCTCACTAAACGATTGTTCATCTGAATCTCCATTCCCATCCTATCCAAAAATCTATCTCCCAGAAATTGCCTGGCAAAAGATGTTAATGGTTGAAGAAAAAGCTCTTCAAACAGTCCAGGAGCAATTGAACCCTACATGCAGCTGAAAAAATGATTCTCCTGCCTCTCACACAGAAGAATCATTTTACCATTTGAAATCCTTGCATACAGAATACCCTCTGCTTAATGTCTATAACTTTTCTACTTTGTAACCCCATTACCTATATGTGTTAAAATAAGTGCTAAACATTAATACTGAAGGAGAACATTCAAAAGCTCCAAAGTCCACCTTCAGGAATCCTATTCTTTTTATGCAACCTTCAGGCTGCAGAGTTAATATAAAACAATAGCTGAGTATCCTAGATGTCTGCAGTAGACTTCTATTCCTTTTCTCCACAGGAATCCATATTAGGACCAATGTTTTTCAAATTATGCATCAATTATCAGGAATTAGAAGTGAGTAGTAAAGTGGCCAAATTTACTAATGATACCTATTAAGAGTGATCAAAATAAAAAGGGATTGTGAGACACTCCAAAATAATCTCTCCAAAATGGAAGAATGGGCATCTACATGGCAAATGCAGGTCAATTTAAGTATATGTAAAGTAATGCATGCTGGGGCTACAAATCTGAATGTCAAGTACAAATGAGAACAGAGCTAGAGGTGAGTAACTAAGGAAGAGATTATGGAGTTCTGTTGACACCACAATGGAATTATTGACCTGGTGAATGGTTGCTGTGAAAAAGACAAAACCCATCTTAGGCATAAAGAGGAAAGGAACTGAAAATAAAACTGCCAATATTGTATTGCCCTTGTTGTTGTTGTTAGTCACGAAGTCGTGTCTGACCCATCGCGACCCCATGGACAACATTCCACCAGGACTTCCTGTCTTCCACCATCCCCCGGAGTCCACTCAAGCTCACACCAACTGCTTCAGTGACTCCATCTAACCACCTCATTCTCTGCCGTCCCCTTCTTCTTTTGCCATCTATTGTTCCCAGCATT